ATTCAAATCCCGCTTACAAAAAAAAAGAAACCGAGGGGAATATCACTCTATCCTACAAAATTTATTATTTTAATCAGCATATCAACATTTTTTAAGAACTGGGGTAAAATTGGATAAACTTCTTCCATTATTTTCTCATAATACTCATGAACAGTAATATTTCTTTTTTCCACATAATCAAATCAAGTTTCGGCATTAGGAATTAGACCCTCTAAACCAACTATCCGAAAAACTTCTTTAGAAGTATAAACATGAGTTCCCCCGCAAACTAAGTATTTTTCGACAAGTTTTTCAGGATAGTTCGTAACAAACTTCAAACGCTTGGATAGAACCAGCAATTTCTAATTCAGTTTTAGCCTTTTGGAGGGCTTTTTGGAGAAAATTATGAGCGGATATTAAAGGTTTAATATCTAATTTACCGTTCAGAATACATTCAGGCATGATGCACTAACTAAACTTTATCTATTTTAAAAAATTAAATACTTTCTTAAGTTCATTAAGTTTAGAAGAATCATTAAGAACTTCTTTTGCTCTGCTGACAATATTGTATTCCTTGTTCTTTCCTATTTTTTCTCCGAATAAAAATGTTTCAATATCAGAACGAACTCAACTAATTCTGGGATTTAGTTCTTTTTCTATTAATTTTGTAAAGTTAATAATTTCCCTTTTCTTATCTAATTTTTTTATATGCCCTCGCCAACTGGCACTGCCTAATCATAAATCAGAATTTAAGTCCACCGGCTTAAACTTATTTTTTTTTAAGCATTGAGATATTTGCTCAATCACGTTTTTCTTAACTTCTTTTATTTCGACATTTTTAGTTATTCATGAAGTATCAATAACTAATTTATTAGTGTGAAGAATCTCTCCTTTTTTATCCTTAATTTTTCCTTCTCCGTACTTTTTTCAAAACCTTTCATGCTTATCGCCCTCAGTTTTGTTTCTTTGAGTTTCTTTTTTACCTAGGAATCGATCGTCATCTAATAAAAACCAATAATTCAAATCTAATTCCTTGGCTAGTTCATTAAAAAAGTTGTAATGTCACTTGCCAAAAATGGGAATTACTTCAGTATTCTCTAATTCTTTATGAAACTTCTCCCTATAAAAGATTGTTGAACAAAATGTAATCTGACATTCCTTCCACAAAAAGTACATTTTTACTAAAAAAAATTCTTAAGGTTTCTTTATTAAACAGCCTTTTTCATTTATTTGGGTAAAAGTCAGGGTCATTGACATTTTCTCTTTTCTTGTCAGCAAATTCTTCATAGTTTTTTTTTATTCTTTTCTCAGCACTTCCTAAATTTTCATGAAGGTTAACATTTCCTTTTATGAGGTTTTGAAAATACAAAGGATTTTTCAAGTTATAATCATCTTTTTGAACTACAACCAGTTCAGTCTTCTTATTTTTGTCAAATAAACTGTCAACAAAATGCAGCAAAAAAGACGGTGAATGAGTAGTTAAGATGATTGTGACGTCTTTTTCTGCAGCTTCTTTAATTAGATTTGCTGATTTGGCGATTAGGGAAGGATGGAGAAAAACTTCTGGTTCATCAATTAATAAAATTGTTGACCGGACTTCAAGCGGAAAGCACATTCTTAATCTACCTCTTTTTATCACGTGTCCACTGTCTATATTTTCCACTAAAGATTCCAATGTCTTGTATTTCAAATATCCAGACCCCATCTTGTCTAAGGAATGGCAAATGTCTTTATTAAAACCTCTATAAGTAATAACTCCACTTTCTTCATGTTTAATAAAGTTTTCCTCAAGGAGGTAAGTTGGAGTTCATGAACTAATTTCGGTTGGCTTTTCTTTGCCAGTTTCTCTTATAAAATGCTCATGGTGACGCCCTTTTTCATTTTCCTTTCCATAAAGTAATTCACAACTACGAGTCTTTACTTTTCCGATTTTAAATTCTTCCTTGTCTTTTTTAGACAAGAACGAAGTGCTAGTTGCTAAATCAAAATAATAAATTTTGTAGGATAGAGTGATATTCCCCTCGGTTTCTTTTTTTTTGTAAGCGGGATTTGAATGATGAAGTATAGTATTAATAACATTGACTTGAGAATTTTGTTCTAACCGATGATAAACTGGATATGAACTTAAAAACGAGTCGGGAGAAAATAAATCAAGCAAAGACTTATTTTTTCGACAATTAGGTGCTCTTTGTTCTACTTCTGGAAAATACTCAGTCTCATAATCATTTACTTTTACTTCGAACTGATCTCATTGCTCATTTTCTTCGTATATATAATCCAGTAAATTTGTTTTGCCAATATTATTTTCGCCAACAATAATTGTTATACCTCCTCTTATAAACTCGAGGTCAACATTTTTTAAGTTACGAAAATCTTTGATTTTTTTCCTCACTTTTCACTTGCTATTTTTCACAACTATTGCCATAATTATTTTTTAGGGTTTTGTTTAAAAAGAAGTGAGACTCTAACTAAAAATTAATTGTACTTAAACTCTACAAAACTTTTTCAACATATCTCATTTTTCATGCGATTTTTCCATATCTCCTTTAGTAATAAACAAAAAACTTCACTTTTCATTTTTTCTAGCCTCTTCCCCCAAATCTAAATTTAAAGCATTCACTCATTCTTTAGCGGCTTGATTTTTCTCATCTATTTCGGGGTTAGGATTATTATCGTCCTTAATTTCTATTAGTCAGTGAATATCATTTTCATCTACCACCAAAAAATCTGGAAAATAGTGCCTTTGGTTTTTGCCATAAAGAATATAAATTTCATCTCCTCATTGTAAAAGTCTAATTCATTTTTTAACTTCTTTGGTTTTGTCGACTAAACAGGCAAATTGAAACTCAATGCCACTATCAAAAGTATCATAATTATACAAACTTTTGCTAAATTGGTAGCCTTTGGTTCTTTTGACAAATTCTTCCTCCAAATTTTTGGCAATAACCTCGCAACTGGGATGGTAATAACTAAAAGTCTTTTCAATTACTTCTTGCTCAGGCTGATTTTCACCCACATGTAATTCCTTAAAAATGTTTTGGATTAACTTGGCTAATTGTTCTCCGGCTGCTTCCCAATACTGAGATACTATTTCTAAATTACTGACTTGCAAAAATTTGTCTACCAAACGATTTGCTGAATCT